GTGTGTGTGTGTGTGTGTATTATGAAATAAAAATTTATCAATACTTAGACAGTATATCAACTCCACGGAAAAAAGAAAGTGAATTAGACCCCAAAAAAAAAAAAAGTGACGAGCAAAAAGAAATGAAGTGGTTTAAACAAATCTTTTTTGCAAATAAATTAATCTATCGAATATTGATTGCTATATAATTGATCAAACACTACTTACAAACAGCACTTTTGCTCGGAAAAGAAATGTTCCTATTGCTCTTGAAAATTGTTTCTCCATTGGACCATTTATATATCTATATGCATCAAGATCCCCCATTTTGCATCTGATTCGTTTTTCAGCACAACTAAAATTGGTTCTCTCAAAATTTCGGGTCACAGCAATACCATATACCAAGTCTTAATTGTTTTTAATATACATTTTTCTCGATAGATACTATAATTTAATCAAAGACGAATGTTATATTAATGTATACTCGACAATGTGTGAAGTTGTATAATTACATGATATGATGATGTGCAGTTTTGATTTAGTTAAAAAATTAATTAAAATCTAAATCATTATCAATATCAATAATTTTAACCACACATTTCATTAGTTTTTATCAAAATTTACTAAAAATCTTGTTTTTAGCTAAACAAATGTGGGCTAAATGAGTATATATGTATAAAAATTGTAAAAACCTTTTGATGATTTTTTTTTCCAATACATTGGTATATCTTAAAAATGTTGTGGTAATTAGCATATAGAGAAGAAGATAAGTATTCTGATAAACATTCTAGATTGCATCGTACAACCCACTCGAATAGTTCCATTCGATTCGATTGTGCTAGTTAAGATTCCGCAAGTGAACAGTACTTTAGGAATAAGTGCAAGTAATGTATCTCTTTTATAAGAAAAAAATTGTGTATTTAGATTCGATTCAGTTAACACTAACTATAACCAAACAAACAAGTATTCAGTAGTTTTAATTATTTTAGACTAATGAATTCTAAACAATCTAAAGGTAGCTTGTCTCGCCTAGGAGGTGAGAAGAGTTGAGAACAAAGAGGCGAACGGGTGCGTAACGCGTGGGAATCTGCCGAACAGTTCGGGCCAAATCCTGAAGAAAGCTANAGATAACATTTATACACAGTTAATTACATATGCCGGCCCATCACGGGAAATTAAATAATTTCCCAACAACCCTACTTTGAAAATGTATTGCGGACACTTCCCCATGTCACCTGCATCATATCTGATCAATTCCTCCATTGGACGCTCGAATCGGCCATGAAATTCCGCATTCCACGGCTGGGGTTCAATGGTATGAGCATCTACGCCAGTGCACTCAACCGAGATGCGGCTGTTAATGGACTACTGTAGTCACACGAGTCGGCGGATAAGCCCTTCACTCTCACCAGCTTTCCATGGATCAAACTTACCAGGAATGACTTTGATTACCCGTTTAATAAACGGGACCCATCAGGTCCTCTACTTGATTTCATAATGGAAACGATCATAGCCCTGTGGAACAGCTATGGCCAGCTGGTGAACAGCTTCTACGAGCTCGAGCCACGGTTTGTGGACTACTGGAACCGTGAGTCTAAACCCAAAGTATTCCGTGTCGGACCCTTGTGCTTGAACCTATCACCTGAAACAGAACCCAATTTGCACAAGGAATATTGTAGATGTATTCATTGGCTTGATCAAAAACTAAGGCAGGGAAGGCCAGTTCTCTACATCGCGTTTGGATCTCAAGCAGAAATATCGCCAGAACAATTATCAGAAATCGCTGGTGGCCTGGAAGAATCGGAAGTGAGTTTCTTGTGGGTGGTAAGAAAGGGTGTAAATTGTAATACAATTAGGAGACAAATTTGAAGAAAGAATAAAGGAGAGGAGAATGGTAGTGAAAGAATGGGTTGATCAGAAACGGATTCTCGAACACGAAATCGTGCAGGGATTTCTGAGTCACTGCGGCTGGAACTCAGTGTTGGAGAGCATATGTGCAGAAGTTCCCATACTGGCATGGCCAATGATGACGGAGCAACATCTAAATGCAAGAATGGTAGTGGAAGAGATTAAAATCGGGTTACGGGTTGTGACAATAAATGGGTCGGGTAACGGATTTGTCCGGTCCAAGAACTTGAAGAATAAGGTGAAAGAGCTTATGGAAGGAGAAAAGAGGAATGAATTGAGGAAGAATTTGAAGGAGTTGGCCGAGATGGCAAGGAACTCCATGAAGGAGGGCGGCTCGTCATGGCTTGCACTAAACCAACTCATTAAAGAAATTTATTTGCAACAAGACCCTCGAAAGTAAATTAGGTCCTTTCAGTAAAGTTATATATCCCACATCGATAAATGATGTTGACACAAACCAATTAATAAAAAATCTTGGGATACTCCTCTTAAAAATGTTGACTTTTTAATATGGAACCTCAAATCTCTACATGGTATCAGAGCCTATTATGTTCCAACGAGC